GAGATACCCTGCCCAGCGAGGAGGTAGCCTAGTCACAGTCTGCCAGCAGAGGCATTGCTGAGCTACTGTGGGCTCTGTCCAGCTGCTATGTGAACTTCCTTGCAGTTTTGTTTATAGAGTTATAGTTAGAACTGCCTCAGTAATGGTGGTCTGCCTCAGTAATGGCAGACTGCCTCCATAATGGCAGACTGCCTCGGTAATGGCAGATTGCCTCAGTAATGACGGACTGCCTCAGTAGTGGTGGAATGCCTCGGTAATGGCAGATGCCCTTCCCCACAACAGAGCTGGACCATCCTGGGTCCAGCTGTGCTTGTTGTGAAACTCTCAATCCAGAATGTTTCAGATTGCTGGTCTTTGTGAGGGTGGGACCCACTGAGCCAGATCACCTGGTTCCCTGTTTCAGCCCCTTTTTGGTCAGTTGAATGGGCGACTCTGTCTCCCAGGCATTCCAGGTGCCATTTGAAACAGCCACCCAGATTTGTGTGAGTTTTTGTGCGGAGACCCACTGTGCTGGCTGAAACAGCTGTGCTGGAAACTTGTGGCGCTTTTCCACCTGGGAATCTCCTGGTCTGTGAGCAGTAAAAACTCATTTGGAAATGCGGCGATCACTCACCCTCTGCGTTCTCACTGGGAACTGCACTCCAGAGCTGTTCCTATTTGGCCATCTTGGATCCCTCCCATCTAATGTGGAATTTTTTATGACTCATTTTTTTCTTTATAATTTTTATTGGTTGGAAAATATTTAAATACCAGTTATCAAAACAACAAAACCCAAATTTCCATAAGCCCACCAGACTTACTTATGGTATTCCCCCTATATATTTATCTGCAATTGTATGACTTAAAATCAAATCATAACATATAAATTATTTGTAACCTAGCACAATTTTTGGATCTCTCTCTCTCTCTCTCTTTTTCTTTCTTTCTTTCTTTTTTTTTTTTTTTTTTGAGACAGGGTCTTACTCTGTCACCCAGGATGGAGTGCAGTGACACAATCTCAGTTCACTGCAGCCTCAGCCTCCCAGTCTGCAGTGATCCTCCTGTCTAAGCCCCCCCCACATAGCTGGAACTACAGGCATGTATCACCACACCTGGCTAATTTTTTGGTATTTTTAGTAGAGACAAGGTTTCATCATGTTGCACAGGCTGGTCTTGTACTAGATCACTTTTTTAAATAAACTTTTTATTTTAGAACCATTTTAAATTTATATAAAAATGTCAAGGATAGTACGAAGAGTTCTCATACATCCCACACCTGCTTCTCTGTTATTAATGTTTTCCATTAATATGGTACATGTGTCACAATGAATGAACCCAGTACTGATATGTTGTCATAAACTAAAGTCCACACTTGACTTGGATTTCCTCATTCTTTCCCTGCTATCCCCTTTCTGCTCTGGGACCCCCTCCATGACACCACATTGCATTTAGTCACGGTCTCCTTAGGCTCCTTTGGATGGTGACACTTTCTTAGACTTGCCCTGTTTTCAATGACCCTGACAGTTTTGAGGAGGACTGGTCAGGTATTTTGTAGAATGTCCTTCCATTGGTGTTTGTCTGATGTTTTTCTCATGACTAGACTGGGATTTGGGGTTTGAGCACAGACGTGCAGGGCCATCACCATCACACTGAGTCAGGGACATACACTGTCCACAGGAATTACCACTGCTGATGCTGACCTGGTCATCTGGCTGAGGGCGTTTGTCAGGTTTCTCTACTGTAAAGATGCTCTTTTCTACCCCGATTCCACATGGCACCTACCCTTTGAAAGCAAGTCACTAAGCACAGCCTGTATGTAATTAAGGAGAGGGAGCTATGCTTCATCTTCCTAAGGACAGGGTATCTATATAAATTATTTGGATTTCTTCTGCGTGGGAGATCTGTTTGCCCCATTTATTTATTTAATCCTTTAAATCCAAATCAGCATGGATTCATGAATATTTATTTTTTACTTTGAGTTATAATCTAATGTTTTTTTATTTTCTTACCTAAATTGTTCCAGCTTTGGCCATTGGAACCTCTTGCAGTTGGCTCCTGTGTCCCTTTGACTTGACCTCTTTGGTGTGTGTGTGTGTGTGTGCGTGTGTGTGTGTGTGCGCGTGTGTGTGTGTGTGCGAGCGCGCGCGTGTGTGTGTGCGTGCGTTTGCACGTTCATGCACACACATTTATCACTTTTTCATTTACTGGCACTAAAAGACCTTCCAGGCTCCTCTTGTATGTTTCCTGCCCCAGTCCTGGAATCGGCCATTTCTCCAAGGAGCCCCATTCTTTCACTGGAGAATGGTATTAAAAGGCAACGTCTGGGTGCGCAGTGCTCTTTGCTACTGAGCAGGTTGCTTCTAGGCTTTCTCAGCTGACAGAACAAGAAGTTGCATGTGCATGCCAACATGTGTGTATACCCACATCTTTAAATATTTCTCTGTGTAACCATGTGCATCAACATAGAGCTTACCATGAGTTCATACTGATGTCTCCAGTGCTAACACATTACCCATGGATCATTCCAGCTCCTTCCCTTGCTTATGTACCTGGTATCAATCTAAACTTACCAAGACCTCTATGATCATTTTCATTTGATTAAATTTAAAAATATTTTATGAAATATTCTACAAAAACATCATGTAGTTGTTTATTTATTCATTGTCACCCAGGCTGGAGTGCAGTGGCACAGTCACCAGCTCACTGCAGCCTCCACCCCCCAAGCCCAAGCAGTCCTCCCACCTCAGCCTCCTGAGTAGCTGGGACCACAGGTGCATGCCATCATGCCCAGCTAATTTTTAAAATTTTCTTTTATGTAGAGACTGGTTTCAAACTTCTGGCCTCAAGTGATCCTTCCACCTTGGCCCCCCAAGGTGCTGAGATTACAGGCTTGAGCCACTGCACCCAGCTCATTTGGCTTTTTGTTTTTTATCTAAATATAGCTGTTAATAACGTCAAGATTAAGGGTGAGCTAAACAAAAGGGGCGAAATAGTTTAACATAGCAGGAAAAGGGGGAAAATCTGGAAATGCATTGGTACTTAGAAATTAGGTGCCAAAAAATCAGTGAAGTCTGGGATGTCAGCAAGAATGGTGGGTACACAGCCCCATGGGCCTGTCCCACAAAGAAACATTGAAAAATCTAATAAAACTTCAGAACCAACTTAATCAAAACTTTGAAAAACAGTCAGAGGTTTACAGCAACCAAGCAAATGCTGAATCAAGAAAAAGGCAGGCTGGATGTGGTGACTCACGCTTGTAATGCCAGCACTTTGGGAGGCCGAGGCAGGCGGATCATGAGGTCAGGTGTTTGAGACCAGCCTGGCCAACATGGTACAACTCCATCTCTACTAAAAATGTAAAAATTAGCTGGGTATGGTGGCACGTGCCTGTAATCCCAGCTATTCAGGAGGCTGAGGCAGGAGAATCACTTTAACCCAGGAGGCAAAAGTTGCAGTGAGCCAAGATCACACTACTGCCCACCAGCCTGGGTAACAGAGTCAGGCTCCATCTCAAAAAAAAGGTAGAGTCTTGTGATGACTCTACTTGCCCTCCTCCCACCTGTCAATCTTGAAGGCAGCAGCATGTTCCTAGCATGGGGCCTGGTCCCTGCTTCTGGAGGCAGAGCACATCTTACTCAAAAAGAAGTGGGTATTTATTCTCACTAGTCCAGTGGCTGCCTGAAGGGCTGACACAGGGGCTTGTCATTGTTTCACTAACTCAGAACCCACTTGCTGCAGAAATTGCTTGAAAACATTGTAAGGCAAATAACGTCCTGCTGCCTGAAGCTAAAAATTATACAGTTGAGGCAAACAATGGAGCACTGAAAGCTCTGGAAGAAAAACTGAGGAGAGAGACACTTTTGGAAATTAGAGCATTCAAAAGTACCTGTAGATACCGGGAAACGTAGAAAGCCCCACACATGCCCAGGGAGCTTGCATGCTCAGAAGAGATCTAGTAAGACCTGAGCTTTCACCTGGGGCTGGTCTCTATGCTCAGTGCAAGCAGGAAGTGAAGGCTAAGGTAGAGCTGTGAAGAGCCTGGCTAAGTAATGAAGCAGGCGCTAGCACAGAGCCAGCCACAAAACAGATTGGGAGAAGTTTCTGTTACTTTTTCTGTTCTCTGTTCTCTCTCTCTCTTTCTCTCTCCCCCTCCCCCCTTCCCCCCACTCCCTTTCCATCTTTCTCTCTCTCCCCCTTCTCTCTATCTCTCTCCCTCTCCCTCTTTCCCTCTCTTTCCCCTCCCTCCTTCCCCCTTTCTCCCTCCCTCCCTCTGCCCCCCTCAGCTTCTGAATCTGAGATGCCCACTCCATCAGGAAGGACTGGTGTAGATGACAAGGATGTTTACGAAAGCAGCAGGCAGGAGGCAACACCCAGGGCACACGGCAGGCTGCCTGTCCTTTGGGGGTGCTCTTGGAGGAGGAGGGCCTCTTGGTGGTGCTGGGAGTGCCCTGGAGCTCCTATGCTACTCAGATGTCTCAGCTTTAATCTCTGGAGATTGCTGTGGTTCAGATGCCGGTCAGATACTGAGTTGATCCTTATTCTATCTGAATGCTGTAGCCCCAGGGTGGGCTCACCCCCATGGCCTCTGTCTGTGGGAGGCCAGGACAGAGCTGCTCATCCAGTCAAGCAGTGGGACTAGATAGGCCTAGAAACCAGCACCCCCCCACCACTGCAGCAGACACAGACATGGCCCAGGCCCAGGCACCCCAACATGGGGGAAGGGCTTTCCTGAAGTTGGGTGGGCATGCCTTTGGTGAAAGTAGTTTTGGGTTTTGATTTGTGGAGCCCAGGAATGTGGGATGGTGCTTGGCTGGCAGCAGCTGCTGCAGCCTCACCGTAGGTATCTGCCTGGGGCCCTTACCAAGCTGGCACCACAGGTGTGGAACATCTACCTGCCAGTGTGCCAGCTGCCGTGAAACCGTGAAGAATTTCCAGAGAAGCACAGTGATGGGGCGTGTGGTTAGACTGCCCTGCACTGACAGTGCCTCCCGTGCCTGAACACACATGGTCTCTCCATGCAGGAAGGACGTGCCCGTGGAACACGTAACACATGCAGACAGAGAGCAAACCAAGAAGGTGGTGTACTCGGTGGTCTATGGAGCAGGTAGGCTGCAGGCCAGGAGCCAGGGTCTCGGGGTCACGGGTAAGCTGGCAGCCCTGTACCTGTGTTTAAATGTGGCTGTGCCTCAGAGATCATCTGTGAGTCCCTGGGTGTTGTTTATGCTCTGATGACACCTGCAGCCACCAGACACTGGCCAGACCACCCCATGCCTTGCCCTGCTGAGAGTCACAGCCAGTCTCTCAGGGGAGGCCAAGGAGGTGGGCGGGTCCAGTGTGACCAAGCCATTGGCCCCACCTCTACACCATACCACTGTGCTAGGCACCACTGCTGTGCTTGGAGACCGTTGAGGAGACCCTGGTCCACACACATGCCAAGGCATGATAAAGTTAGACAGCTTAGCCTCAAGGTGTGCAGCGCTTGGACTCACTGCCACATCTCAGCACGTACCCCAGCTCCCTAGGGCAGAGCTCACCCAGCTGGGCCATGCAGCCAAAGCACCCCACAGAGGGCAGAGCCAGGCCTTGGGCTGTGAGCAGGGCAGTGGGGGTCCAACGTCAGGGGCAGCAGACAAGAGAAAGGGGGGCTAGGCCAGGAAGGGCTGGAGGGCCAGAGGTCTGGGCTGCCTGGGGCCTCTTCTGCAAGCATCCCTCTCCCCTCCTCTTTTCTGTTCCCTTCTACTCCTCTCCCTCCTTCCCCCCAGCCCCCAGCCCCCAGCCCCAACACCCATGTCAGAGCGGGCCGTCTACTCTCTTTCACTCTCCCTTGACTCCCTGACATGGGCTGTCCAAGACTTTAATTCTTTTCTGGCCCTGAGTGATGCTGAATCAGTGTGGCCTAATTTCCCCAGCCAGCCAGCTCCTTCTTAAGCCTGTTGAGACCTCCTTTCCCTATGATGAGCTCTGCTTTGAGCAGCAGGGCTTGTGCAAAGACCTTGAGAAGAAGATTCACCACCCTACCACGGAAACCCTTTGTATATTCACAGAAAGGCAGCAAAACCAAACAAGCTTCAGTGGAAGAATAACGGGGCAAGCACTTCCTAGATTGTCCCTAGGAGCTGCCCTGCAGTCTCCATTGAGACTGTGGTTCTGCTGGACGAGCGTCCAGGGTGCCCCACCCCGGGGCTGTGGATGGATGGCCTGTCTTGAACCGCAACCAACCAGCCAGCCAGCTCCAGCCTCAGGGCTTTGCGCTGCTGTTCCGCCTGCGGAAACGCCTGCCCCAGAGCCCGCCCTCACTTCTGCAGCCCTGCGCTCAACTCTCCCCTGTGCAAACTTCCTCAGCCACAGTATTGGTTACCCACTTTTGGGTAACAAATTGCCACAAACGTAGTGACTTAAAATAACACACAGTATCTCACAGTTTCTCTGGGTGTGGGCATGCCATAGCGGGGTCCCCTGCAGGGCTGCAGTCAAGGTGCTGGCTGGGGCTGTAGTTGCATCTGTGGCATGACTGGGGAGAGATCCATTTTCTTGGCTTCTGTTTCTTTTTTGTTTCTTTTTTGTTTGTTTTTTGTTTGGGACAGAGCCTCGCGCTGTTGTCCAGGCTGGACTGCAGTGGCGCAATCTTGGCTCACTGCAACCTCCAACTCCCAGGCTCAAGCAATTCTCCTGCCTCAGCCTCCTGAGTAGTTGGGATTACAGGCACCTGCCACCATGCTTAGCTAATTTTTTGTATTTTTAATAGAGACAGGGTTTCACCACGTTGGCCAGGCTGGTCCTGAACCCCTGTCCTCAAGTGATCTGCCCCCTTGGCCTCCCAAAGTGCTGAGATTACAGGCATGGGCCACCCTGCCCAGCCAGCTTCTGTTTCTTGCTGGCTGTCAGCCAGAGGTGGTCTCAGCTGCTTGCCATGTGGGCCTTACACCTTGGGCAGAGCCTGCATCTTGGCAGCTCTGCTCTTCGAACCAGCAAGGGAGCAAGAGATGCCAGCTCTGCACCCACTCACCTGTTCATGGTCTGATGCCCCAGCTCGAACATGGGCACCTCAGAGATAGGAGCTCATCAGCGTAACTCACTGCCCAGCACAGAGAAGACACAGGAACAAATTAGTGGACTTGGTGATCTCAGCTCCACTTTTGAAAACATTTTGATTGTGTACATGGTTTTTGGAAAATAGACTATGAAACTTTGTTTTAAAGAACTAGATTCTGTGAGTGACAATAATGTGACATTGAGTTGATTCTCTTCAGAGTTGCTTGGTCCACTGCCTTCTCTCAGCCTCTTTCTTCTGTGCTGCACCCCTGAACCTCCCTGGGGTCCCTGTCTTGGGAGGAAGGCATCACTGCCAAATTATATGAGACTTTGTTGCCTTCATCCTTGCTCCAACATCTTGTGTTGCAAACATAACATTTGCTTCTGCTCTGCCAGCAGGACATCGCCTCCCCAGTCCTGGGCCAGGCAGCCTGGGCTTGATCCCAACCCTGTCACCTCCTTGACTGCGTGGCTTGTACAAGACCCTCCGCCTCCCCGTGCCATCTCCTCCCGGGGAATGCTCTCATAGGGTGGGTGGGGCCACACCTGGCACACAGTCAGCTGTCATCTCTGTCATCTGCCCTTCACTTCTGCACCATGTCAATTAATGCCTCCAAGTGACTGATCTGTAGGTCTCCTGTGGCAGCCCTGGCCTTGTCTCCAGCTGGGGCAGCCACCCCACATCCAGCTAGGAGGAAGGATTGGAGACTGGGCGTGCCGAGCACCTGCCGTGGGGCAGGCCATCCCCCACCTACCAGAAAAAGGTGGTCTTCTCTGCCACCCCTTTGGCTCCTTCTGGAGTATTCAATTTCTTTCTTTCTTTTTCTTTTTCTTTTTTTTTTGTAGAGGAAAAGAACTACATTTTGTAAATAAGCAGTGAGTCATTAGCCTATTGTTGAAAAGAGTAATTTGGCTGCTTTTAGCTGTGACAGTGACACGGGTTCCCACCCTGAGCCTCCCATTGTTTCGGTCTGGCTTGACAGTTGGAATTACTGTGCATTTGCTGCTGTGGGCTCAGACTGTGTCTCTGTTCTCCTTGTGTTGGAAACTTTGTCACATGAGCTGGGACTCGGGAAGCCAGGTGAACTTGCCAGGCCTCCCAGGCTGCTGGGGACCCTTTGGAAATTCTGTAGAGGAGCTGGTTTTCAGTGGATCGCAGTGCTGTGTTTTCACATCACCGAAGGGCCCACAAATGCTGGGGGCGTGGGGCAGGGCATGGTTCCTACGCATTCTTGAGAAATGGGCGACATGACCATTGTGAAGACTGCGATGAAAACAGCAGAGGAGGCAGCAGGACTGTGTGAGAGGCAGGGGAGTGCCCCGGGTGATGGGCCTGTGTGCTCTGCCCCCACAGCCGCTGTGGAGGAGCTGGCAGGGAGCACACGGAGTAACACAGCGGCCACTGTCCGGGAGCCTTGACCCCAGAGGCCGGCTCACTGCTCACTGCTCCCCCATCGGTCGACTGAATTCAAATGCCCATTAGCTTTGCTGGCGCCTCCCCAGCCTGACAGCCCTGCTCACGGCCACTGCTGGGCCCAGCAGGAATCTGCCTTCTCCAGGAAGCAGCTCCTGACCTCTGGGTCTTGCTCTAAGCACCTATTGCTTCTAGAGTCGAGCCCTTGAGTCTTCTCAGGGGACTCCATGGCTCTGAAGTTAGCCTCCACATCCAGTCATCGTGCAATCAACAGGCCTGTGCTGAGCGCATGTCATCTGGCCTGGTGCCTGCTCCCAAGGACTTGTGCCCAGCAGCAGAGACCCAGGAGCAGGTCTGGGCACACAGACTACGCCATCAGTGCATCTGCAGGAGCCCCTGGTGCCAAGGGAGCCAGGGGAGGGCCCCAGCCTGGGGAGAGTAGGGAGAGTTCAGGGGCAGCCCAGACCAGCAACCCCTGAGTCAAGTTTTGAAAGCAGTGTAGGACTTAATGTCAGGTCTGTTCCAGCTAGACCAGCCACGTTCCTGAAGGCCCACTGTGTGCAGGCACCTGCTTGGTCCTAGAGACACAAGCAGAAGTGAAAACCTGTCAGCATCATGTGTGGGGCAGAAGGGCACATGGAGAAAAGGGAGTGAAGACTCTGTGCTGAAGTTAAAATTGTAGCACACACGCATACCTAGACTCACATGTGCCCAACGGACAGGATTAGCCATCTGGGAAGAGTCCGGTTGTGTGTTCATGTAGGATGTCAGAGGAGGGAGTACTCAGTGCCCCCAGCTTGCAGATCTCTCAGGGTCTGTGTGTAAAATGGGATCAATGGAATGACAGCTTGGGGGCAAGTTCTATGAAAAGAAGGAGCAGTCCACAGGAAGCATGGGACAAAGAAGTCCCCACAGAGTCAGAAGCCAACCTGCTTGGGGAAAGCAGCCTTATAGTGTGACAGCCTCACTGCTAAGAGTGCCCAAGGAGTGAGGAGCAAGGACCCAGGGCCTGGGAGGCCTCTCGGACCCTCAGGCTCTGTGTCAGTCTCTCGTCCCTGCTGCTGTGGAACCACCGTGCCATCCGCACTCTTGTGGATGGGCTTTCTTCATGCATAGGGGCCGGGGCCACCCACTGCTCTTCGGAGATCCCGACAGCTCCACAGAAGAAAGGAAAGGGATTCTCCCTTGGCCATAAGAATTTAGAAAGAGAGGCATGACTTCTGATGATGGCCAAGTCGCTCCCAGTGGAGCAGCCCTCCCACAGGGATCAACTATAAACTGTAGAAAATGTATAAACAGACAGCTACTTGGAGGCACTGGGAAGCGACCAGAGCAGCAGAAACTGGAGGTCAGCTGACATCTGGAAGAAAGGAATGGTGAACTCTCATTCTATAGCTCCTCGCCTGAAGGCAGCCTCACTCGATGCTGTGTGGACAGAAACTCTGCCAGGAATGTGCAATCCTACTGGCTTGAATAACTGGAGGACAGAGTTCTGGGCAACCAGAGAATCTGGAAAGTGAAGGGAGAAATTCCAGAAAGAAGAGAGCCAGGAAACGAGGCCAAGTTCTCGGCATGAACTCTGCTCAGATCTTGGCTGACCCCTAACTATGCATGAATGGGGCAGACTTCAGACAACCCAGAAGCCAACGCAAAAAGGACTGGCCTGAGATTTCAGTGTTTTCCCACTGCAAGGAGACAGAGTTTGAAGTTCGATTTTAGCTGAACTAAGTGCCCCTTTAAAAAAAATTAGTACTCCTTAGCCAGGCATGGTGGGCATACAGCTGTAGGCCCAGCCACTCAGAAGGCTGAGGCAGAAGGATTGCTTGAGCCCAGGAGTTGAAGGCTGCAGTGAGTTATGATTGCACCATTGCACTCCAACCTGGGTACAAACAATACACTGGTTCAAAAAAAACATAGCACTCCTCAGAAAAACATAATGGGGTCCAAAACTCTATACATATCTTACATGATGTCCAGCATGCAACCCCAAATTCCTAAACAGGAAGAAACAGAATAACTTGACCATACTCAAGAAAAGGCAATCATGGAAGCAGATCCTGAGATGACTCAGATGTTAGAATTAACAGACAAGGATTTTAAAGTTGCTGTTAATAACTAAGCTCAAGGAAGTAAAAGAAAATATGCTCACAATAAATGAAAAAAGGAAAACTTCAACAAATAAAATTCTGAAATGGAAATTATAGAACTGAAAACTGCATACCCCAAATAAAAAATTTGGCCAGGTGTGGTGGCTTATGCATGTAATCCCAATACTTTGGGAGGCCAAGGTGGACAGATCACAAGATCAGGAGTTCAAGACCAGCCTGACCAACATGGTGAAATCTTGTCTCTTCTAAAAAAAAAAAAAAAACCACAAAATTGACCGGGCATGGTAGTCCCAGCTACTCAGGAGGCTGAGGCAGGAGAATCGTTTAAACCCAGGAGGCAGAGGTTGCAGTGAGCCGAGATCACACCACTGCACTCCAGCCTGGGCAACAGAAGGAGACTCCATCTCAAAAAAAAATTCACCATATGGGCTTAACAGCAGACTGGAGGTAAGAAAAGATTTGTCTAAGAAGATACTCAAGGCGAGTCCCATCTGGCTGACTTCTTTCTGAGAGCCAGTGGAATTTTTCACTGCAGTGCCATAGCTGAGGCACTAGGTAAGTGTGGTGATTGGAATTTGACAGAAAGAAGAGCCATAGATGAATTATTTCAGTAAAGTGTAGCAAAACACATAACTTATTTGTGAAGATATCACAATAATGGGTCTTAAACCCGAAAAGGGATGTTGGAGATTTTTCATTTCTAGCCAAATGGTGCCAGTTCGTCAGTCCATCTGGGCATAGAAGGATCATGACTTTATCCCTCTCTGCTGGGATAAACTTTGGGAGGACAGGGCACCCCAGGCCTTCCCACTCTTGCTGGCAAAGCAGCGGAAGCAAACACCTGCGCTTTCACTCTCCCAAGACTTGAATATTCTCTCTGTCCAGAGCTGCTGTGCCATCAGCTGGCCAGGGCCAGGAGTGGCCTGGCTGAAAGGAGGGCTAGATCAGAGAGGCCAGTCGGTCCCATTCCTCCAGAGGGTTCTTCCCTGGTCTTCACAGACCCCACACCTTCACCCCCTGGGCCATGGTTTCTGCACCATCCTGTCCAGAGGTCCCTGGAGCACCCTGTAGGACAACCCCAGAGTTAACCTCGCACAGAGGACAGCAAGACCACTGCTGGTCCCAGACATGCTGCCCCCGGGAAGGCAGGTCTTCAGGCTGCTTGTCTCTCTGGGGTTCCTTCGAATGATACACCCCTCCCCAGAGCCATGGCTTTCCCTAGGATCCCACTGTCAAGCGAGGGATGATGTCCTCATGGATTCCTCATTCTCTGTTTACACCGTTATTCTCTTCTGGAGGAAAACGGGAGGGAATGAGTGTATATTGAGTACCAAGTAGGAACCACACACTGCTTAGAGCTTCCCATGCCTTGGCTCATGGGGCTCCCAGCTGGGGATAAGGGCTCTCGGTCCTAATATGCAGTGAAGGAACAGGCTTTACTGTGGGTCAGGCAAATCCCCATCCCCAGGGCCACACAGAACCTCCTGGTGGGACTAGGCCCAGAGCCAGGCTTCTGTGGTCACTGAACCTGCTCACATGCTTGCTGGAACTCAGCCGCTGCCCAGCTAAAGACCTTTATTTCTTTTCTTTTTAATAAATAGAAACAAGTCCTCACTTTGTTGCCCAGACTGATCTTGAACTCCTGATCTCAAGTGATCCACCCGCCTCAGCCTCCTAAAGTGCTGGAATTACAGGCGTAAGCCACCATGCCTGGCCCAACCAGAGACATTTCTACCAGCAGCATCACAGGAACACCTGTGTCTTCTAAAACAAAATGTTGAACTCCTGAGGACCATGTTCTCTTGCTTTGGCCATGGAACTTTCCCTTCCTCTTTTCCTCTGTGCTGCACTCTAACCTCCCTAGTTCTGGAATTGGGTCTTCCCTAGCCGCACTGGGGGGAGGGACCGTGTCTACTTCACCACCATGACACCTGACACACCCAGCAGGCACTGAGTCAATATCATGGAATAAATACACGTCGCAGGCCCCAGTCCAGAGTGACTGGCACCTAACACTCCGCTTGTAAAACCAACACCAACTTCATCCCCACCCATCAGAAGAGACCAGTGCTGCCAACTGGACCTGACTCCCTGAGCCCATGCACGTGGTCACGGCTGGTCTGAGTAAGGCCTTGACATTCATCTCTCTGACTGACAGGAAAGGAGCGGCTTGCCGCTTGCCTTGGAGTTCCTGTTCAGGAAGCTGCCCAGTTTTTGGAGAGTTTTTTGCAGAAGTACAAGAAAATCAAGGACTTTGCCCAAGCAGCTATTGCTCAGTGCCACCGGACAGGTGAGTTGGCCACAGCCAGAGCTCCCTGCTCCCTGCTCACCCTCTGTGGAAGGATAAGGGGACAGCTGGGTGAGTGATGTGTGGGTGGGCCCTGGGTCCTGAGGTTGGTTGGGGGCCTGGGTGAATCCTCAGCTCTAGTTGGACAAATAGGGCTGAAGATTCCACATGAGAAGGGACCAGAGTCTGGGTGGCTTGAAGCAGCACAGTGAACAAACTCGAGTGACCAGATGGTGAATGGGCATGCAGGTAAAACAGATGCAAGCCTGCACCTGGAAAGGGAGAACATAGATTCTTATGGAAAGCACTGGTGCGTTTACAAATATCATCACAATCAGGTCACAAAGGAAACCCAAACGAACTTCAGAGAATACCAAGTAGAACATATTACGTGACCAGAGTGCAGTGAAATGGTTTTGTATATGTATGTCTGTGTCTGTGTAGCCGTCCTTCCATCTACCTATTTGGAAATTGATTATACTCCTCATAATTTAGGATTAAAAAAAGAAATCCTAAGACAATGACAAAAATGTTAGAAATAAATTACAGTAAACATATCTTGTCAGGAACTGGGGTGTGGCTAAGCTGACGCCTCACTTAGACATAAAGGAATCTTTTGAAGTTGTATTTTTAAAAGAAAGAGAAAGTTGTGGGCATAAATGAGTTGTGTTCTACATGAGAAATCTGGAAAAGAGTGGCCGAGAAAAAAAGGAGGAAATCAGTGGGAGAGCAGAAATTAATAAACAACACAGAGGAAGATGACTAGCCGGCAGAGGAAGGGCGCTCACAGCACTCAGCACTCACCACAAGTGCGGAAATCAGCCAACAGCTGGCCTCAGCAGGACCAGCATCCTAGATGTCGTGGCCTGTGTCCTGTGGGTGCAGCCTTGGGGACCCTCTCCGTAAACCTCTCCCAGTGACTCTGATGACTTTTCATTCGGGGGCCTGTACCCAAGCCCCATGAGCTCCAGGCAGCCCAGCTGCAGGCTCCTCATTGGTCTGACAGCAGACGGGCAGGTGGGCAGCATCTGTGCCACAGCCCATGCTAGGCCAGAAGGGGAGCCTCCACGGCATCTGAGACGTAAGCTCCGTGCTCCCCTGGAGTTTCCAGTCCTCGGGGGACACAGTGAATCCACAAGCATCTGCACAAGGACAGGAAGGTGGCGGCCAGGTGTGAAAGGAACAGAGGAGCCGCAGAGGCCCCAAGGGTGATGTGCCAGCCTCGGCCTCACAGAGCTGGCCACCTGAGCAGAGACAGGAAGGGCCAGGAGGAGTGTCAGTGTGGGCAGGTGGGCCAGAGAACAGGTAGGGCCAGGTAAACCCAGACCATGCATGACACTCTGTGCAGAAAGAACCTAAGCTTTGTCCTTCAAAAATGACTCCAGTCACGATGTGGGAAAGAGATTGGAGGTGCAGTCAGAGCCACCCCTGAGAACAGTCTAGAAGCATGCAGGCATTAACATAGTAACTGAGGAGGGGCAGAGGGAGAATGGCAGGTAAGATGTCAAGAAGTCATCAACAGCTCAGGAGCCAGCTGGGATCTCAGATGCCTCTCTGGCCACCAGCATGAAGGGGCCAAGCCCTCAGGGGTCACTGCTCTCCACAGGGCACTTGACCTGCCCCGGCTAATGCTGACTATGATGCTGGCCTCCCCAAGGCCCTGGGAGAGGCCTGCAATGTGCTCACGTCCTTCTGCATTTCATAAACGTGTCAAAAGCAAGGGGTTTTTTAAATATTTTTTTTATAAAGACGGTGTTTCACCATGTTGGTCAGGCTGGTCTTGAATTCCCGACCTCAGGTGATCCACCTGCCTTGGCCTCCAAAGTGCTTGGATTACAGGCATGAGCCACCACGCCCAACCAAACAAGGGGTTTTTAACTACATCCTGCTGGGACTGCTGCCCCCAGTGCTCCAGCTTTCTCCACCACCCACCTTTCTATGCCAGGTGGCATCAGTGGGGCCACAGCCAGTTGAGCTGGCAACTCATTTAATGCGGATTTTTCCTGCTGATGTTCCTGTGGTCCCTCTTTCTCTGTGTGTGGTGTGGTGCTAGCCATCCTGGCACAGGAGTGGCTTCCAGGAGCATCGGTGCCATGCCAGTACCACCACAGAGGGCCAGGGCCAGAGGGCATCTCGAGTATGAACAGGAACTACAGGCACTTGCACTGGAGGCGCTGAGTGAAGAAGAAATGAGGTCTGATGTGAATGGAACCAGGAGACTTCTGCCTTTGGCCACAAGGGAGTCACCAGCTTCAGACTCTGCACCCACCATGAAGAACCAGAAAATGGCAAAACATCTAGAGCAGCCGTTTCCAGCACTAGATGGGGGGTAGGGTATTGCTCTGGTCTCTGAGAGAAAAGACCCAAATGAGCTGAGTCCCATGAACACCTTGTGTCTGGAGGTACAGCCCATGTGTGGAGGGGACCACACAGACTGCAGTGGTCTCGATGAGTGGAGGAGACATGGACCCAGACTGGAGAGGCAGATGCAGCTGCATTTTGCAAGCCAGAGTGTCAGAGAAGAGGGAGCTACAGAGAGGGAGAGAGAGAGAGCTTCGTAAACCATCAGGGAATTCCCTTTGTGTCTGTGTTTGAACACTAAGATACACATACATCAAGTGAAATGCTATGGACTAAGCACAGAAACTGCTGGGGAGCAGTAAGCTGGGTGATTCCAGAGTTCACACGGGACTAGGAGATGTTTGAGTTCTGACCATCCAGTGTGGGGAGTCCTTGTTAGACACCTGGGGCATTCAACAGAGACCTCAGAAGGGTCACACTTTAGAGGCAGGTCTAGACTAGCCCTAGATTACAACTATTCTAAATCCACTCTAACAAAGCTTAGAAGCAAGCTGCAAAAGGATTGAGATGATTGGCAAGTAACTTAAGTCTGCCAAAACATCCTCAAAAGGAAGACAGTACACCCCAGCATTCAACAACATAAAATTCACAATGCCCAGCATCCGGTCAAAAGTCGCTAGACTGATAAGCCAGCAGGAGCTGAAAGGGACAAGTCAGAGCAGCAGCGGCTCTCTCATGTCCTCACTGCCAGTCCCTCTTAGGAATCTTGTTTATTGCCTGGCATGTAGTAGCCACTCAATCCCTTGTCACTTTCATGATTATTACACATGTGGGAAATTCTTCTTGCCCTTAGTCACAAGGAGGGGATTTATTTCCCACCAATACCTAGTTAAACCAGAAGTCCTCACTGGTCAGGAATATAGTCAGATAACACGATTTCCTTTAAAAAGAGCCCCCAAATTGCATACACTTCAGGCCGCACAAGATTGGATCTGCCCAGTGCAGGGTGTAGACCTGACTCAGACATCCTCCTCCTTGAGGGTGTGGGCTGACCCCTTTCTCCCCCATTCCACACAGTCCACAGCCTCCACATGGCTTTGCGAAAGGTGCTCTCCCTCATCCTACGTGAGATCCAGGTGCAGCTAGAAGTCAGGAGAATGCAGAACTGAGAGTGCAGAGTGCAGCCAGGGGCAAGTGGCTCCCCACTGGAATCCCAGAGCTTTGGGAGGCTGAGGCAGGTGGATTACCTGAGGTCAGGAGTTCAAGACTGGCCTGGCCAACTTGGTGAAACCCCATCTCTACTAAAAATACCAAAAATTAGCTGGGCATGGTGGCAGGCACATGTAATCCCAGCTACTCAATAGGCTGAGGCAGGAGAATTGCTTGAACCCAAAAGGAGGAGGCTGCATTGAGCCGAGATTGCACCACTGCACTCCAGCCTTGGTGACAGAGTCTCACTCTGTCTCAAAAAAAAAAAGTGCAGAGCGCCCAGCAGCAGACCCTCGCTTTCCCACTGCAGAGCCCACCTGCCACCGAGATAGACCCAAAGGGCCTGGGGGAGGCTCGGAGTCTTCACTGCAGTGCAGCTGTCCCTCTGGGGCCTCTGGACCTGGCCCAAGGGAGGTGCACCTGCTGTGGCGCCTGTTTCTGTCTCTCATCTGCTTTTGCTCTGTGTGACCCAGGTTATATGGTGTCCATCATGGGCAGAAGGAGACCCCTGCCGAGGATTCGTGCTCGTGACCAGCAACTCCGGTCACAAGCAGAGCGACAGGCAGTGAACTTCGTGGTGCAAGGTACCAGGAACCTCCCACCCTGTAGTTCTGTGTCCATTTGCTTCTTGGGTTTGCAGCTGCAGGGCTGGGTGGCACTCACAGGTCATTGTGGTATTTCCTGCTCCTCACAAACCTCCCTGCAGGAGCTTGTGCTGCCTGTGTCCTGCCTGGCAGTTACTGTCAGGGGCGTGAGGGGACATGGTCACCTTTGTAGCTAGGATGCCTCCCCCAGGAGCCAGGCCCAGGTTGTGCTGTTCCACATAGCTGCAGGTGGGAAACTGAGGCTTTAAGAGTTTAGCAGACCTGGAGCTCAGTCCCTTGGCGCTTGGCCTAGGCTCTTCCATCCTCCCCATGCATGCCTGGCAGGGGTGAGGCTTCTGGGAATAAGGCACCCAAAACCCAGGTGCCCTGTACAGCAAGAGGGCAGGAGGAGTGAGGACGAGGTGGCTACCTGCGGTTGCCTGTGGTCTCGGCACTCAGACAGCTCAGAGTCTGCACCTCTATGTGGAGGCGCCGTGAGAGCTGCGGCAACACTGCCAAATGCTGAGTGCACCACGCACCGCGTGCCCCACAGGCTCCGCCGCTGACCTCTGCAAGCTGGCCATGATCCGTGTCTTCGCTGCAGTGGCCGCTTCCCGCACCTTGACAGCCAGGTCAGTGGGTAGCAGTTGGCCTGCCTGGGCCTCAGCCCTTCTCCGGGCTTGGACGGGAGGGTTGGTGTTCTGTGGGAAAATCCTCTGGGGGCTCGAGATTCCGGCTGCCCACCACCTCTGCTCCAAGGGCCCCATCCCCTCCCGAGGCTCTCAGCCCATGGAAGGCCCTGGGGGCTACTCACAGCAGGCATGCAGGAAACAGCGGGCCGACCACCAGCGTGGGGCGCAGATGAGGCCTCCCCTCCACAGACAGAAATGCTGTCTCCCCCACGCCCCAAGGGTTGCCCACCCCACAGGCAGGTGAACACCTCAGACCCTTGGGCAGGACCCTGGGGGCTCCAAACTGCCCCCACTCCTACCCGTTGCTGCCACCAGTGCCAGGCAGTGGTGCCCCACATCCAGCTCTGGCTGAAGCCCGGAGCCCCAAGCCAACATTCAGATGTGCCTCAGTGGTGGGGGCTCCACTGTGGCTGTCCCCCAGGTCATAGCTCTCTCAGGCCTCTGTCCCTGCCTTAGTGATTCCCCCAGGCACATACCTCAGGAGCTTGGGTAGCCAGGGAACAAGCAGCCCTTGCCCAGCCACCTCCTCCCCGCCAGCCAAGGCCCTGGGAGTGCTGCATGTGGCCACCCAGACACCTCCTCTCCTCGTTCTCCTTGTGGGGGGATCACCTCAGGAATCTCGAAGCCCCTCCCGGGAGCTAACCTGCCTCAGCCCCCACAATGTCAGCTCCCAGAAGGGCCTGTTGCCCTCTGTCCCACCATGGATGTTTTCCTACCCCACCCTAAGGGCCCTCTAGCTCTTGGCGCCAGCCCCTCGCGGACAGCCTCTGCAGACCAGGTGCACCTGCCACTGCTGCCGCATCCAGGAGGGGGCCCAGGGAGGGTTGAGGCAGCGGCTTCTGGAGTATAAGATGTGGCCCTGGCCGGGCGCGGTGGCTCAAGCCTGTAATCCCAGCACTTTGGGAGGCCGAGGTGGGTGGATCACGAGGTCAAGAGATCGAGACCATCCTGGTCAACATGGTGAAACCCCGTCTCTACTAAAAATACAAAAAATTAGCTGGGCATGGTGGCACGTGCCTGTAATCCCAGCTACTCAGGAGGCTGAGGCAGGAGAATTGCCTGGAGGCGGAGGTTGCGGTGAATCGAGATCGTGCCATTGCACTCCAGCCTGGGTAACAAGAGCGAAACTCCGTCTCAAAAAAAAAAAAAAAAGATGTGGCCTGGGCCTCCCCAGTGTGCCCAACCCCGCCTTTGGGTTACAGATCCTGCCTACCTGTGGCCGCTCTTTGCCATCTGAGCTTACAACTTTCTTTTGACTTTTGATATTATTTTACATTCTCAAGGCATGATTTTTTTGCCTTATCAGAGATCTCTCGTCTCTGTTTAAAAGCAGCCTCCTTGTGTCTTCAGTAACTCCCTTCTGTTGCTGGCTGTCAAGCCTGTGCTCTTCCAGGGATTTCAGCGACTTTGTGCAGAAGTGTGTCCCCACCACTGACCTTGCCCAGGCTGAGGTGTGATGCCCAGCAATGGAGAGCAGGGGGTAGTCCCTAAGCCCACTGAAGCCCAGAGGGCTCCTCCCCTTGCAGCCTTTGTAGGTACTCCCTCTGGCCCACAGTCACCCTAAAGCTCCAGGGAAAAGAAGCCCAGAAGGAGGCCAAAGCCCAAGCTGTCATCCCAGGGAAGGAGGATGCCTGAGGCCCCACAGGGTCTGAGCACTGCCCCAGGCTCTGCTCGCAGCCTCACTGTGGCTGTCAGTGCTGCTCGCTGCAGTAACTGAAGTGATCAGGAGGCAGGAGTGGGGCATCAGAAGATCCACTCATCCGGCGCGGTGGCTCACGCCTGTAATCCCAGCACTCTGGGAGGCTGAGGCAGATGGATCACTTGAGCTCAGGAGTTTGTGACCAACATATTTGTTGCCTGGGCAACATAGTGAAACTCATCTCTCAAAAAAGCAAAAAACAAAAAGTCGGCCATAGTGGTGCACACCTGTAGTCCCAGCTACTCAGGAGGCTGAAGTGGGAGGATCACCTGAGCCTGGAAGGTCGAGGCCACAGTGAGCCATAATCACACCATTGCACTCCAACCTGGGCAACAGAGCAAGACCCTACCTCAAAACAAGAACAAGTCGGTTCCCTTTCAGCCCTTGTAGAAGTGGTACCGGAAGTTGGCATGTAAGGAGCTGGGTCTCTCTGTTGCTGGCTGAGCCCTTCTGAAAGCTGAACAGACACTTCTTACTCAGGAGCTGGTCACCGGCTGGTCATCTTTCTGTCAGCCCTCAGCTGTCTTGAGGAAACGCTTCTCATAGCAAAATGCAAAGCAGACCTATGTGGAACATTGGGCATGCTGCCGTCTGCGTTTTGTGTATGTGATTTCTTCTTCCAGGACTAACGTGAAAGGCTGTGGATGGCATCTGGAAGGGACGATGAAGGCTCAGGGTGGCCTGGCATCTGCCTGAAGTGGCAGGCGTGAAACTTGACCACTGGGAAGCACACGGTGCCCCCAGAGCCTCATCTGGCCACCCCAGGGGTCTACCCAGGTGGGCTGGGGCCGCAGGACAGTCCCCATTCACACCCACAGTCCCTGTGACAGGGAAATGGCATTCCTTCACGCCTCTCGGTCCATATCCTGCAAAGACTGGAGAGGTCGGGCCCAGAGCAGGAGGCTGGCAGCCGGCGTTCACAGGCCTCTGTGCCGGTGGCTTGGCTCTCCGGTCTGTTCTGACGCAGGCCCTTTATGAAAAGGCCTTCCTGGGTTTCAGAAAGTGTGGGTGCTCCTGTGCTCCCTCCCCCGGGCCTTCTCAAGGCGGGTCGGCACGGGGCCACTAGGCCTCAGTACTCTCAGGATGAGTCCTCAAAGCAGCTCAGCAGGGCTGGGGGCATCCCTTGCAAGGGAGCTGCAGGCCCTAGACAGGGTGATATGGTGAGGCTCTTCTGGAACGTTCTCCTACTGGTGCAGTGATCTCAGTTAGGCCGTCCAGATGCAGGACATGGCAGCTCTGTGGGCCGACCCCTCAGGAGCAGGGATGAGAAGTTGCAGCAGAGGTCCGCTCCCTTCCGGAACACAACAGATCCGAGGCCCTGCATTCACCCACCCCACACAAAGACAACGAACGGCTGTCCTTCTTCTTCTTCTTCCTGCGCCCTATTTCCCAGCTGGAAGTGCGGTCATGTCTCAGTGGCTGCGAGAATGATGTGTGACTGACAACTACACCTATTCTTAGGTTCCTGCCACACCAGCAGCTCGGAATTTCACAATGTAATTTCAAGAAGTGTGAAAACCGCTTCTGCTAAATCTGGAAAAAGTTACAAGTGCCTTTTCTGACGCTTCTGCCCATTTGAAAAGTAAGTCCTCTTGAGAGCCAAAGACTTCTGCCTGAAGCCTTGAAGTTACTGTAAGAAAAGCTTGCTGGTGCTGACAGCCTGGGCTCTCTTGCCCCTCTGACTTCTGGAAGGGCATTGCCCACGTTCCCTGGCCAGAGGCTGCACATAAAGCACAGGCCCACCTTCCCTCCCTGGGCCAGCCTGCACGAGGACGTGAGCACCACCGTACCGTGGACTGGGGCCTCGTAGTGTCCTATGGATGTACACCACGAGGATGTGCACATGGCCATCAGGGACACCGGCCCAAGCTCCAGTAGCCCAAGCTCCAGTAACTCAGGCTCCAGAAGGCAGCTTTTTCTCCCATCATGAGAACTCCAGAGAACAGCGGTTGCTGACTTTGTTTCAGAGGCTCAGAGCAGCAGGACCGAAGTCCCTCTGGCTCCTTGGCCATTCCCTCCTGGTGCTATGATGGAGGTTGCTGCTCCAGCCATCACACCTTCCAGGCAAAAAGAGAAAATGGTAACGGTCAGAGGAGCATCTGTCCCTGGCAGCCCTTCAAAGTCAGCATTTTAAAGAGCCTTACCTTTTAAGAGCTTTGCTGGAATCTCCTTTTCCATCCCACTCCTTACCTCCCTCCCTGCTAAGGGAAAAAATAATAATAGCCTCCTTGAAAGTTGAAGGGAATAGTCCTGGGCCACCCTGCCTGAGACAGAGCCAGGGAAATGTCCTTTGTAGCTGAGGACACAGCCCCACCTCCACCCCACCCACCCAGCAACAAAGGGGCCAACATGAAGGAAGTGCGGAAGAGCGGACTGGGGCAGGTCACCTGAAACTCTGCTGCAAAGTCCACATGTCCTGCGGACAGTGAAAGCACAGCCCACCTGTACCCTGGGGCTTGAAGGCTGCCCCGAATCCCAGTTGATCTCTGTCATGTGCCCGTGACCACTGCCCGGCGAGGGCTCATGTGCAGCCCAGCTCCTTAGGGCCCTGGGCCTTCTGTGCCCCCATCTGTGCCTGACAAGGATGGGCAGCAAGGGCAAGGATAGGATGTGACCCCTGCCCCTGAAGGCTCGATCCAGAGGACAGAGCCAAGGTCCCACAGAGGACAGAGCGCATGGGTCCCCTTGACACCCCATCCTTCCCAGCAGCTCATCCTGTGAGTCACCCGCACTGCATGTCCCCTCCTGAGGGCACAAGGTGAGCTGCCTGTGTCCATCCTGAGTCTGGCACATCACCAGGATTTGGGGCATCATCTGCCCAAGGTGTGTGTCACCAGTTTGCAAGGAGTGTGTGGAGCCGAAGAGCACTGGCCGAATCCAGCCCTGGCGGGGTCTGTGTGGCCGGCGCGGCGCAACCGTGAGCCCATGATCCGTCTGCCTTGTACGCACTTGCACTTGAGTTTGAATCTGTAAGCCCCACCCCAGGGACCCGCCCTGCATTTCACCTGAATCTCCTCCCACTCGGGTCCCACTTGTCTCCCCGACACCCTGGGAGGGGCACCTGAGGGGCTCCAGGAAGGAGGCTGGGGAAAGTTGGGGCCTGGCTGGGGCTGGCAGGACGAACCCCAGAGCAAGGCCCCAGTGCAGGGGCCGGGAATGAGTACCCAGCCTCTCTGAGAGGCCCTGAGGGTGCAGGAAGCCAGGTTGATGTTCATGAGGCTTGGCCGAGTCAGGGCCCCACAGCAGTTCTCAAGGGGCTGTTTCTCCAATCTTGTTCAGAACATGAATTGCTCACCCCCATGGGACCTGCCTGGGTGTGGCAGACATGGGGCACCCAGCCTCTCCTGCTGGGCATGCCACCTGCTTCCTCGCCGATGACCAGAGTCACTTCTGACCAGCCTGTCTCCCTATCGCCCCTTCCCCCAGCTTCCCAGAGCTGTCCTGGTGACAGTGGGTGGCCTCAGGCAGTGGTACCCCTGAGCTGGGTCCCCCTGGCTGTGCCTCAAAGAGCCACGTTCTCTTGGGCCCCAGTGCCAGAGTCCCCTTTCAGAAACCTTGGGGATGGTCCCCCGCCCCAGAGTCCTGGCCTCCCAGGGTGACTCCCTCCCTCCTTGCCAGGCTGGTGGCCCAGATCCATGACGAGCTGCTGTTTGAAGTGGAAGACTCGCAGATCCCGGAGTGTGCAGGTAGCCCGGGGCAGCACAGGGTTGCCTGGACTTCACAAACGGCTAAGGGGAAGCTCCATGGCCCATGGCACAACCCAGGAAAGCCCTCCCGGCTGTCAGCCCTTTTACGGCACCTGCTCTGCCTCGTGCTGCTGTGTCACCTGGGTCCTGGCAGGCAGAGGGGCCAGCCTGAGTGTGGGGACCCTTGAAAGGCCTAAGTGGGCTCCAGCCTGGGCCACCAGCCTCCCCGAGAGCACCGGGTGCTCTAGCTGACTGGAGCTCCGGAGAGCAGCTGCAGACACCCAAGGCCTCCATGTCTTCGGGGTCTGGAAAGGTGGGGAGTGGGCACCGGTATCACCCAGGCTGACTGGGGACCAGGCTGCAGAGCTGGCAGCAGCTGTTCTTGTTGGGGTGTTGGAGTCCCTGAGGTTCCCCAGGCTCCTCAGGCCTGGGTCTCATCCTGCCCCACAGGCCACCCCTCTCTGCTGAGCTACATGGCCCACAGGTGAGTGAGCTCAGGCAGAGTCACCCCCAGCCATCAGCCCAAGGGGTTCTTTGAAGCCAGGGATCTCTCTCTCCCTAGGGAGGGCCAGGACCTCCCCACAACACCTAGCCACTGGTCCCATGGAGGCTCCCATTGTGGCCTCATGGGTGAGATGGGAGAGCAGGTGCCCACGTGGAGCTGTGCCCCTGGCTCTCCAGGCCAGGTCTGTAACCGGCTGGGGCAGCTTCATGGGTTGGGAGAAGAGGCACAGGGGGCATCAGGTCTGGAAGCTTCGGGCACCAATTCCCGGGGGGCAGTCGCCATGCCCTCCTAGCCCCACCCTCTCCAGTTCTTACCCTTAGGGGTGTGAGGCTCCCATCCCCAGTGCTCACCCATCCTGCTCCATCCTAAAGCAGGGCTCTGCCACTTGAAAACTATGTCCAGCAACTCATTTGAAAACACACTCATCTTACGTGACCATTTAACAAGTATAACGTGTGCTCAGCTATAGGTTAAAAAAGGAAAGAAAACGTTCCCAAATGGCCTTGTTCCTGGGAGCAGCTTCCTCCAGCTGGCCTGGCAGCTCCTGAGGCAGGCGGCAGCCCGCGCCCTGCTCTCAAGAGCACTCAGGGCCAGGGACTGCAGGGCCTGGGGAATCAGGGGTCGGGTGGGGCCTGCACTATCCCTGAAGGGTGGGAGTCAGGTCCTGCCTCCCAGGCAGTGTCTAGCGCCTGGTGTCTCTGCCCCGCCTGCCCTCCCAAGGGCCCCATAGGGAGCGCCCCAGCTGAGTGCCAGCCCAGCCCCACACTTGCTGCCCCTCTCTGAGCAGCAGTTGCTGGGGATCACACACTCCGTCACCAGCACCACCCCACCATGTACGGAGGAGGAACCCGTTCTCTGCACACCCAGGGTAGCTCCAGCCAGCATGGGTAGCCAACCATCCAGTTTGGACTAGGCCACCTTTCCAGCCTTGCCCCCATAACAAGCTCCCCAGGATGGCTGGGGGCCCTCTGCAGGGCTCCCCACCATGCACACAGCCCGCGTGCCCACCTGCTGGCCGACAGCTCCCTGCAGACAGTGACCTGCTCCTTCACAGAGGACACTGAGGGCCACAGAGTGCAGGCAGCCACGAGCCCTGCTCACAACACACCAGGCACAGGTCCCCAGGGAGGCTCCGGCTCTGCTGGGGCCAGGAGGGCTGGAAAGTGAGGCATCGCCCACCACGGCTCGCAGCTCCTGCCACCGCCTTTGTGTTGCGGTGTCACACAGCCCAAAAGGACTAAACGAATGTTTATCCACGGGCCCGAGGATTCAGAGTGAGCCCAGAGAAAGCCTGAGCTTGTGAGTCCTGCCCCCCATCCCTGCCCAGGCCTTCCCTTTCTCAGGGCTCTGAGCCCCAGTGCTGCACAGTGACCTAGGTCCCCACAACGGGGCCAGCCCACCCGTGGCACAAAGCCACGATTGCATCAGACTTCACCCAGCAGTAGTGGGGATGGGCTTCCTGCAGGCCTGGTGGCTCTGGCTGGTGGGGGCTACCTGTGCCTCCCCCTCCTCCCAGCCCCAGAGCTTCTGGAACAGAGCTGGCATGACACCTGTCCCATCCCACGGCCCCCAGCTGGGGCAAGCTGACCCCAAGGGGTGGGGTGAGGGCCAGTGCAGCATGGCAGGCCAGTCCAGGGGGTCTGTGAGAGGCATCCTGGACTGTGGACGGGGCCGGGGAAGCTGGACCCAGCCTCAGGAGTGGGGCACACAGGGGCTACTTGTGGGCATTGAGGCCCCACGGCTGGTTCAGGTGACCAAGTGGACACAGGAAACAAGGGGGCTTGGGGGCTGGGGCAGGACTCGGGCCTGGAAGTTCCCCAAGGTCAAGAGACCAGCGGGCCACCTTTTTCTCCCGTGCTCTAGCTCTCGTCAGGAGGACCATGGAGTCCTTGGAGCAGGTGCAGGTGTTGGAGCTGCAGCTTCAGGTGAGGGGACACCCAGCCCTGCCGGGTCTCGAAGAGCCCAAAGTGAAGGAGGCCTGCGCCCCAGGGCAGAAGAGCCAGGCCACAGGGTGCAGCCCCAGCCCGAGATGGCCCCTGCAGCGGTGAGATGGCTGCTCCGCAGCAGGCCCAGCAGTAGGGGCTGGGCAGTCCCTGAAACCCAGTAAGCCCCACCCAACTCTGCTCACTTCAGTGAACAGGGACGGCAGCAAGGCTGGACCCTTCCAGCCCTGTCAAGAGGGAGTGGTGGAGGCTTGGTCCACACAGGGTCAGGGACCCTGGGGAGGGCTCTCTTGGCCTCTGGGAGCCACTGATCCTCCCGGGGAAGGACCCTGAAGGGCAGGCATGGGATGCCCCAGAACACACCCACCCGCCCAAGGGCAGCTTGTCTGCCGGCCGCAGCCTGCCCACTGGCACAGAGGCCCTGGCAAATGGGGAACCTCCGCCAAGATCAAGGTGTCATGACTGGGAGGTGGATGTGGCCTAAGCCTGTTACTGTGCACGTGTATGCACACGTGTGCGTGTGGCTGATCACGTACAACTGTGGGCTGCAGGTGGGGTCCCCCTGCATGGGGTCTGGGAGGTGGCTGGGGATGGCTGGCCCAGGCCTGGAGCTCACCTCTGCCTGCCACCCACAGGTACCCCTCAAGGTGAGCCTGAGTGCCGGCCGTTCGTGGGGACACCTGGTGCCACTGCAGGAGGCCTGGGGCCCTCACTAGGACCAAGTCGCACTGAGTCTCCCAGCAACAGCCTGGCTACCTCCGGGTTCCCCTTACCCCCACCCCGACAACACCCGCCCCCGCCCCCGCATTTTTCGCCTTCATTTTGTCTGTAGCCCCAGGCAACAGGGGGAGGAAAGAACTGGTTTCCAGCAGCCCATTGTGTGGCCTCCCCCAAGGTCACCAGCTCTGCATGCCAGGCCGCTCCAGGATGCATTAACCCTTTGGGGCTGGGGTGGCCTGTTGTCCCTGGAGTAAATGCCTGTGCAAAGCTCTCTTCATCCCTGTTTAAGTGAATTGTTCCTGTAAGTGGGAAGTGCTGCGTCCACAACCCCCAGCCACTTGGTCAGGGCAGGGCTGAGTGCCCCAAATTGGGAGTGACCAAGGCTGGGTCTGGGCCAGACACTCCAGGGAGGGTGGAGTCCCGGCTCCCTCTCTCATGGATTTCAGGGGAGGGGCTTCCTCGTAGCTCAGCAGCTGCTCACCCCTGGCAGGTGCCCAAGGAGCCACCAGCTCTGATGCCTGTGGTGTGCCCCCACTGGTTCCCTTCACTTCAGGAAACCACTGCCCAGGGCGCTCCCAGGCCGGCCCAGCGTGCAGCCCTGTACTGAGACCAAGAGAACACAGCCTGCCAGCAGGCACTGAGGCCCCTGGGGCTCATGTTCCCGACTGATGCCTCAGGAGGACCACAGGGCCACTCTATGAGAAGGCCTGCCCACCCATTGCAGGCCTCTGCCAGGGCTGCGGCCTGGGGCCACCGAGGACCTTCAAGGGCCTGGGGTCACACGCGCTTAGGCCATGAGGTCTCTCCCTTGAGCCTCCTGCAGGCTGGTGACCAGTGGCTGTAAATAGGCTGGCTCCCCCCAGAGAGCCAGCACTCCCAGCCGCCCTCCAGACTCTCCCGTGGCCTTGCTGCCAGCCCAGCAGGACACCTGTGACTCTCCTCCGCCTCACAGCAGCCTGCGACAGAGGCACCAGCACCATCCCCCCTTTTCATGTGGGGAAACTGAGGCACTAAAGGTCACAGAGCTCAAAGTGTGCCAGCTAGGATTTCAGCTGCATCCCACCTGGTACCATGGCTCCCTATCTCTAAGGTGGTCCCTGGAAAGGTGCTCCCGGGGTCCTGCTTTCAGGCCACCCCACCCCTGGGTGCCTCAGCCCCTCCCATGTACTTCCTTACCCAAGTCTGGGTCTGGGCTCCAAGAGCCTCCCTTGAAGTGGGGTGTAGGGCCCCCAGCACCCTTCAGGGTTGCTCGCCTCTGGCTGCCACCCACAGAGCAGCCAGCACTCAGGCTCATCCTCAAGGTGCCATCTGCTCACAGGGACACCTGGTACCACTGCAGGAGGCCGGGGGTGAGCGTGCGAGGTGCAGGTGGTGCTGTGGGTTTGAGCAGTGGCCTCCCCTCTCCCATTGTGTGTGCCACACCTGCCCTCTTTTAAATAGGGGCTGTGTCACCCACACGGCTTCCCTGTGCCCACTGGACATGGGTTGTCTTTTCTGGGGAACCTGAGTCATCACAATAGACTGTGCCCAGGACATCACCACTGTGGTCTGAGGGTGCTAGAAGTCTGTTCCCTCTGCCCTCTGATTATGCAGCATTCGCCGGGTAGTGTGTGTGCGGTGCTGGGGAGGTGGGGACAGCTGGGTCAGATCCCAGTCCTGGTGCTCTGCCACGCCGGCCTCGCCCCTCTTGGTGCTTCTTGCCCCCATGGGGGGAGCCAGGTGCCCATCCTGTGACTCAAGGAAGCATTTGGAGCCAGTTTCTCCCCAGGAAGAAGACATCCACACTGCCCTAGACAGCTTGGTTTTCTCTTAGCTTCAAAAACATTTTCATGGCCTCCCACGTGTGTGTGTCCTGGATGGCCAGGCCTGCCCCAGTGTGATGGGACATCCCAGTGATCCAGGGAGCTGCTCAGAGCCTCTGCTGGGGCCTCCTACTAGGGCAGTGCTGCCCCTGCCTGCGTTCTGTGGCAGCACTCTGAGCCCCACCAGGCCTGATGCAGCCGCTGCACGCAAGCCTTCCGTCCTGCCGCAGTTTCAGCAGGATGCCCCAGATGGGCTTTGCTGAGCCCAGGCCAAAGCTGCATAGTCCTCCAGGCCGAGGGGCAGCCCTGCCATTGGGAAGAAGCTCGCAGCCTCAGGTTCCTCCAGGCTCCTGGCCAGAGGGCCTGGCAGCGGGGATGCAGAGGGTGGAGAAGGCGGAAGCGGGGCCACAGAAACCCCTACCAGGAAAGTGGCCCAGGGGACTGGGCAGTACAGTTGGGAGATCCCTCGACTCCAGGATTCTCTCTGCCAACAAGACTGGCATTCTGACAGGCACCTGCCAGGGCAGGGATCTGTGTCCACCCCATGCCTCACTGGCTGTGAGACCCCCCCACACACACCCTGCTCCCCACCAAGGCCCTGGACTGCAGCACTCTCAGCCTGGACCCCAGACCTGGCATCCTCCCTCACAAACACTGGGAGTCACCCTCATCCTGGTGGGCTCTGATGTCCACTCACCTCACACCCTCCCTTGGCACCACTGTGCCTCCAAGGGAGGGGCCAGGCGGGCAGGCAGCTGCTGGGGCTGCCAGGGCAAGGATGGACATAACCACGGGAACTGGGAACCCCAGATGCAGGAGGGGTCCGACACCCTGATGGCACCCAGACCCCAGGGCCAGGAGGACAGGGCAGCAGGGCCTGGCCAGGGGTCCCACTAGGGTGGCAAGGATGGGGTGGGGGCTGGGCGCCAAGCTGTCTGCCAGGTGTTAGGGTGCCTAGGGTCCCAGCACAGAGCTGGGTGAGAGCAGGGCCCATGAGCTCCTCAAGGGATCCTGGGTGTGAGAGTGAATGGGCAGAGCCCACCCAGCTGGGTTCCTGCTGGGTGCCTGCTGGGGTGGAGCCTCAGCAATGGGGTCACCACCACCCCCACCTCGCCTCCCGGATCACGCTCCCTCCAGGCTGCAGTGCTGGCTATGGGGCAGCCTGGCCAGGTATAGGGGAGCCAAAGTGAGGAAAGGGGGTGGCCAGGGAAGAAGGGGAAGGCGGTGGGGGCCCACCTCCCCGAAAGCCAGTCCTGCCACAAGTGGGCAGTAAGCACCCCAAGAGAGCACGGGAGCCAGGTGCCTTCAACTCTGGTTTTATTGAAAAACAGCAGCATTGGGAGCCATTCAGGGGAGGGGTGCACACCCATCCCAGGCCCCCGCAGCCCCTCTCCTCAGAACTTGCTCGCCCCCACCCTGGGGGCTGTTTTGGCACATCTGGGGCCTCAGGACAGTCTGCCCCCGCCGTGGGCTCACAGTACAGTTTCGGGAACGAACAGCAGCAGGTGAACCCCACCCCTGTGCTCCCCGAGCCTGGCCTCCCTGGACCTGCCCTGGAGCTGCTCAGGCCCTCCACCGAGGCCCTGCCCCACTGAGAGGCAAGGGGGCCAGGGAGGCTCGGCCTGGGGCTGGGGGCCCAGCAAGGAAGCGGTGGGGAGGAACCTGCTTCCCCAGGCACTGCCAGCCCCCACCACTGGTACCTGCACAGCCACATATATGCAAGTACACACACAGACACTCATACACACCGCATGCTCATGGAACACACATACTCTGTACAGCTCACACCTACATCCATGCACATGTGCATGCTCACCCACACACCAGAACACACACATACATACATACACGCCCACACATACACGAGTACATACATGCTCACACACGAGTACACACATGTACACTCTATGCATGTGTACACATTCACACACATGCCCCTCAGAGTACACAAGAACACCTGCATCACAGAGGCATCCATGCTCATGCATACACACGTACACATACACACGTGCATGCTCGTGTACACACATACATTCATACACACATACGTGCATTCATACACATACATTCATAATACATTCATATACACGTGCATTCATACACGTACATTCATACACGTACACACACGCATGCTCATGCGCACACACATACATCCATACACATTCATACACGTATACGTCCATACACACGTATTCATACACACGTACACATACACGCATGTGTACACATGTACATTCACATGTACATTCATACACACGTGCATGCTCATGTGTACACATATACATCCATACACATGTACATCCATACACATGTACATCCATACACATGTACATTCATACACACGTACATATACAGATGTACATTCATACGTACATTTGTACACACATACACATGTGAATTCACGCACATACATGCTCATTCATACCCAAGAACACACACACGTATACTCATGCATACACACCCACACACATACATCCACACGTGCATGTTCACACGTGTACACAACACATGAACATGTATGCCCATACGTGTGCACTCACACATGCATGCTCACATGTCCATGCTTAAGCATGTATACATGCTCACACTCATGCACATGCACATGCTCACAATGCACACATGCTCACACCACACGTGCAAGAATACACTTGCACACGTGCTCACACATATGCACACATGCTCAAACACGTGCACACACACAGGTATACCCCTTCTTTAAAATGGCTAATTATTGCTGTTTAAAAAAATACATCCAACAATGGTATGTCGGCTCGCCCTCCTTCACCCAGCTGTGGCCCCAGGCGGCATCGTGCCACCTCTGGAAGCACAGCGGCTGTAGCGCCAAGGAGTAAGTGGATTCCAGGGTCCACCCAGTCTGGGACTCAAACCCCAGTGTCAGCTCTGTGGCCACCAGCCCAGGAACGCAGGCCTGTGGCCAAACAGAAGACACAAGCAAGTCAGCAGGCAACAGGCAGGATGCGCAGCCGCAGCGCCAGCCCAGGGGGGATGGCGGTGGGCTCCCTCGGCACGGGGGCAACTCTGTCCCACCGTCCCTCGGGCTCTGACAGGAAGGTGACCCCACAAGGGCCCACACAGCCCTCTGCCCAGCGGAGCAGCCACCTTTGGCCCCCATGAAGCCCAGGCGCCAGCAGAGCCCAGGAACCCCAGTTCCCGTTCTCATGCCACAGGCACAGCCCTGGTGCCCCAGGGCAGGCGGGCCAGACCCTTATGGCCCAGAGAGCTTCCTCCACCTGCCACACAGCCAGGAAGCTCAGGGCAGCCCCACGCCGTCCCCTCTGGCGCCTGCAGCCTTCTGCCACCTTCTCAGAAGACACCCAGAGCAGGAGGGGGGGTGGCCCCAGGACCTCATGGCCTCAGGTCTGCTGTCCACAGGGCCTCCCAGGCCAAGCCTTCCCCGCTGTCCACTCCTTGGGACAGACTGACCCAGCCCTCGGCCCCTCCCTGTAGGGGCAGCTTCTCAGCTGCTGCCCGGCCCCAGAGCATGACACCAGCAGGAAGCGAGGCTCGGCAGAGGAAGGAGGGGAGGCATCGCCAGGCCTGCGGGGCTCAACTCCCTACACTCAGGAGCCCTTCCGGGGGCCAAACCGCATGGCAGCTTCGGCACACGCAGGCCTCCCACCCTCAGGGGCCAGGTCTGCAGCCACTCGCACCTGGGTGGTTGGAGCTGCCCAGGGCCTGCCCACCCCCTGCACCGCAAGACCCCCTAGCACTGGGCAGTGCAGGGCATCCTGAGGCGCCACGGCCCTCAGCTGCCCAGAGCCTCGTTAGGCCCGTGCTGCTCATCCATCGAGGATGTTCTCCTTCACCCAGCTCTGGCCTCGGGCACCGCCAGCCCCTCCTGCCTTCCATCCTCTCCACAACAAAAACAGGCTTCCAAACACACAGAAATCCCAGGAGCCCCTGAGCAGTGCCCAGCCCCGGGCTGGCTTTCCCCGGGCCTTGCCACACAGAGTCTGAGTGGTGGGCACCCACATCAAGTGGGCAGGGGCGGGCACTCAGGGAAGCCGCACCAACCACGTGACAGCAAGGCCCAGGAGGGCGCTTCAGAGGTAGAAGAAGTTACATCAGAATTTCTACAAATGTATAAAATTCATGTCAGTGCACATGTGCAGAGCAGTGAAATCCCTGGCTGAAGGGATGAGGCGGGCCAGGGCAGGCCCACCCATGAGGGCACCTGGCCTCCAGCCCGGGGGAGGACAGATCTGCCCCCCACTGGCCTTCAAGGGCCCCACTGAGCTGCACACTGGCCTGGTGAGGGCTCCGGGCAGCTCCGCCCCAGCCTGGCAAGCACACCGGTGCCTCTGCTCACCTCAGAGCAGCAGGGTTCTGCACACACCCACCCCATATACCCTTCCTGGCACCTCTACCAAGTCCTGGCAGCAAAGAAAGGCCAAGCGTCCCACCACCCACAGGGCAGTGCAGCCAGGTCACTCATGGGCACAGGTGCCACCAGTATGGGAGAGGGCCACACTGCCCAGGACTCTCAAAACCAACCCCCAGGAGGAGGATCTGCAGTGAACCCAGCTCAGGTCAATGTCAAGGGGACACTGGCAGCCCCTGGGCTTCCAGGCCCTGCCCTGGCATCGGTGGGCTCTGACAGCCACCCCCACGCGCCCTGCATCCCAGGAGCCTGAGGCTCCAAAGGCACAGGACCCAGGGAAGCTGGCAGCGCCCCAACAGGACACTCCCATAACCTGATTCCACCTGGCCCACCCTGCCCCTCCTGCCCCCAGCATGCCCCGCACCAACCGGGACCAGCCCAAGGCCAAACCCAAACCAAACCAAAAGAGGAAAAAGGCACAACTGTTTCCATTTTGCTAAAACACTTTACGTCTGTCTGTATATTCCAGATTAACAAAATCTGAGCTGCAAGAAAATAGGGTGCCGATTTCTGTACAGTCTACAAAACTCCCATCCCCGAGCGGGAACCGGGCCCCTCCAGGGAGGAGTGTACGGGGGAGGGGCTGTACAGTGCTCTGCACACCTCAATTGCGAACAGGACAAAAGGCCCTCGGACACGGGGCTTCTCCATCCCTTTGCTCACTTCTGAGGCGCCTCGTGAAGAAGGTCCCTCCGTGGCCCTGCACGTGGCCTTGGTGCCCAGGGCCCAGCTCTGTGGCCCACCCTGCCTGCCACACACCTCCCCAATTCCCCACACAGAGGGGTCTGGGCAAGCCTTTATTCTCCTCCTGCCACCTCTAGGCTGGACGTGCAGCACCCTCTGCCTCTGTCTCCCCTTGCAGGCCGCCCCCCGTCCAGGACAGCCCCTGCCTGTGACCTCAGGAAGGAGAGACCAGGAGCACCACCAGTGGGAGCTGAGGCGGCCACCCCTCTTCCCACCCAGCCCAAGGCAGCGCCCTGCCCCTCCTCCTGGAGGCTGTGGACTCCCTAGCCCCCCACCCTGCCCACCCTGCAGGCCAGGGCCGGCAGGCATGCTCCGTGGCGGGAAATAACACCAAATCAGGGTCTCCCTCCAGATTTCCAACTGCAGAACACTCCACCCACCTGGCCACCCATCCCCATCACACTGGGCCAGACACTGTGTCTTAGGGTACAAACTACCGTTTTGTCCCAAGAATAAGTCATGCAGAGTGCTATTCTGTCTAAATAACTTATTAGAAAACGGGTTGGTTTCAGGCTGGGAGAAGCTGTGGGCTGGGCGCTGTAGGCAGCGGCCTGGGCTGGTAAGATTCACAGGGTGGACCATCAGCCAGAGGCGGGAGGTCCCTGGGGACATCTGGGAGAGGCCACCGCGATCCAGTGGGCACTGGGGAGACGGGTCCCTCAGACCCCCACCCTGGCTGTGCCACGGATGCCATGGGAGCCACCTGGGTGATGACGCCAGCCAGCTAAGCCCAGGCAAGGGAGGGGCCGGAGCCAGCGGAAAGGAAGGCAGTGAGATGTCAGAGCAAAGCAGACGAGGACAGAGCCGGGCAGCGTGGGGCAGGCCAGGCCCTCCGAGGGGTTGGGGCGGGGGCAGGCCCTCCCATGGCCAGTCCCGGGCTGGGGACAGAGGCGCTCACCGGCCCGGGTCTCCGGGTCCAGTCTGAGCAGGGCAGGGCTGTGTGCATGCGGCATGCTGGTCCGGGCCACACCCTCGGCATGCGCAGAGCAAAGCAGTGCCGTGCCAGCTCGGGCCTCCATGGGCAGTGGCACCGGGCTGCTGGCAGGGCCGGAACCTGGCCCGGGGCTCTGTCGCAGAGGTTCTGTGCTTGGTGAGCAAGGCTGGGCCTCCCCCAGTGGCGGCGGGCAGGGCAGCTTCAAGGACAGCCGCGATGGTCCAAGATGCCACTCTTCAAGGCGTGGCAAGTCGCCCGGGTGGGTGGGGAAGGGTGAGGGGCGGTGGTGACGAACAAACCCCCCCCCACCGAAGTATCGCGGAAGAGCAGCAGCCCCGCACCCCTCAGAACCAGCCAGAGAACCGCAGGATGTTGAAGAGGGAAAACCCAACACAAACGCCAAGATGAGCGTCTGAAAGCAGCCGCGCCGGGCGGCGGGCAGGCGGGCAGGCGGGCAGGGCGGCCGGGGTGGCGGGCAGGTGAGCGGCGGCAGTCACTCCTCGCGCAGCTGCAGGCGGTAGCGGTGGTAGCGGACCTGGAAGAAGAGGCGCTCGGCCAGCGAGAGGGTCATGCCGGGCAGCACGTAGTGGTCACTGGCGCCCATGTGTCTGAAGCCCAGCGACTCGTAGAGCTTGTGGGCAGCCACCTTGACAGCCGTCGTGCCCAGCACCACCGCAGAGTAGTTGTGCACCACGGCGAACTCCAGCACCTTCCGGCCCAGCGCCTTGGCAATGCCCTTGCCACGGAAGCGCGAGTCCACAGACATCCGCAGCAGCTCCAGTGTGTTGTCCTCCTCGTGGGCCCGCGCGGCCACGATGCCCACCACGTTGCCATCCAGCACGGCCACCCAGAAGCAGGAACCTGCAGAGGACAAGCGGCCAGGGACACCCGGTGAGGAAGGCTGGGGAGGCCCCTGCACCTCTGGCATGAGACAGGGCCAGGGTCTGGGAGGGGTCCCCTTGGGGATGCCCACTCCAGCCAGGCACGAAGCCAGGGCACTGGGACACCCAATCCCAGCAGTCCCAGGGGCCTAGCTACCAGCTCTGCTGGACTCAAGGGAAGGGGCAGCCACTATCCAGGACAAGCCAGTGGAGCCCCCCCACACACACACTCCAGAGCCCCTTAAGCAGAGAAAGCCCGAGCAACACCTGTTACCCACAGCCCAACAGCCAGGACTCCAGCCTGGGGGCTGCACTGCCCTGCTCAGAGTGGTGGTTGAAGGCCCGAGTCCCTCCTCTGAGACCAAAAGCTGGGCAAGCTTTGGCCAGTCAGGCCCCTGCCCTGCCCAGCTACTCCCAGACCGAAAGCCTCGATGGCCCTGGCAGCCCTGACCAGGCCATGGTCCAGCCAAACTGCTATGGCTCCTGGCCACCCACGGTCACCTGGCCATCACGGCGAACTCCAGCACCCACAGCAGAGGCCTGCGAGGGGCAGGGGCTAGGAAAGTGGGGCCAGGAGGTTCCCTGCAGCCCAGGAGGAGCTTCCTACAAATCCAAGTGGGGGACAGGGGACGGCCCCTCTGGCCCTGGCCTCTCCCGGCAGTGAGCCACGTGGCCAGGCCACCACCCCATCCACAGGACAGCCCAATTCCCCCCTCAAGGCAGGCGTGAAGCCAGGAGGTGGAGGCTGCGGGGAGGAAAGGCAGCAGAAGAGGAGAAGGGGTGCGGGGCAGTGAGGGCGGTTATAGGGGGAACCCGCAGGCATCGGCCACAGGGGAAGCCCGGCCACCTCCAAGAACCAAAGGCAGAGGTGGCACCCAGAGACCTCTCTGATGGCCGAGGGGCTGGCCAGCAAGGGTCACACAGCCTGCCCCCTCCTCGAGGAGGCTCTGCACCTGCCCCAAGCCACGAGAAGCACTCCCATCCTCCCCACCTCCCCTCTGCGTAACCACCGGCCCACTGGCTCCATGAGGGGGACCTCTGTCTGCTTCAGTGCAGGACACTGCGGCCTGGAGGGCGGCTAAGGGGGTGCTGAGGGCCCCTCAAGGAGAAGCAGCCAGGGGGAGCCACTGGGCACTGCTGCGAGGGCCACAGCCCTACCCAGGCAAGACCAGAGGTCAGAACCATCCTGGGAGCAGCAAACCCAGCACCGTGTGGCCCTGGCACACCTCACTCCTCCCAGGCCTCAGTTTCCCCATGTGCACAAACAGCTCCCAGGAATCCAGCATGAACCTTCAGCAGCCATCCAGCCTCTGCCCTCATGGGGTGCTCCTGCAGCCCCCCCAGTTGTCCCTTTACCCCCCACACCAGGTAGGCCACAGCCCAGGGGGCAGGGCCATGCCTTGTGTGCCCACCAGAGCCCTCTTTGCTGCTGCGGCCTGAGCTTCCTCATGGCCCATTTCCCCCAGGGAGGCCAGGGCTCAGGGGCTGCTCAGATGCGCTGTTTGGGTTTGGGAAGGATCAAAGAGAGCGGCTGGCGCCAAGGCAGTGGGACAGGGTGGTGCCAGAGCCACTGCCCCTCCCGACACTGGCAGGACTCCTGCCAGCCCCTGCCCAACCCTCCAGGCCCACTCTGACCCTCTCATTGGCCCACAGGCCCTCCAGCATGGGAGGGAGCCTCCTACCCCACAGAGCAGACTCCTCACCCCTGGGGCTGCCAGCATGGGAGAAACCGCATGGTTCTGCTTCCCAGGACCGAGCGGCGGGGGACCAGCCCAGAGGTGAAGAGCAATCCCCAGCTCCCCTGACCCTGGCCCAGCCCCTCCAGCTACAGAAGGCCACAGGAACTGGGACAAGACCTCCAGCTAAGTGGCCCTGAGACCAGGCCAGAAGTGAGGGCCACAGCTCAAGGTCAGGTCCCCTGCCACCCCCATCTTTTGTGCCCCAAGATGGTCCCCAGACCCTGCCACACAACTCCTCCCCCCAGGGCCCTGGCACTGCAGACAACCCCAGCCCCACAGAGCCTAGCGGCCCTTGCCCCACCGCAGCGGGCGCCAGGGAGACGCACCCAAAGCAGGGAACGGTGGAGCCACTGCGTCGCAGGGCCAGCTCAGGCCACTCAAGGAGGAGCTGGCTCTGCCTCCCCCAGCCCTGCTGACTCCGGAGGCCTTGGTCACCCAGAAGGCTCAGGCCACAGGGGCCCCGGCCCAGGCCCACCCACGCTGGCGCTGGCGCTGGCCCTGGCCTGCCCTGAGGTTGCTGGAGTGGGTGTCCCCGAGGGCGGTCTGGGGCGGAGGGCGGGGAGGGGCAGCAGGGGACTCACCGGGCGGCTTCATGTAGTACTGCTCGATGTCCGCCATGTCCGTGTGCAGCGCGCACTCCAGGTAGGCGCGGATCACCTTGCGGCTGTAGTAGTAACGCAGGCCCAGCAGCGCGGCGGGCACCAGGCACGTCAGCAGCAGCGAGCGGCTCAGGGCGAAGCACAGCGCTGCGGGCAGAGGGCGCGGGTCAGCGGTGCGGCGGGGGGTCCCCAAGCCCCGGGAGGCGCTGCTCGGGAAGCCCACTGGGGATGCCGCGGCCAGCCACGCTCTGGATGGAGGAGCGGGGTCATCCCGGGTGCTGGCTACTGCTCCCCATTTCCAAGCTTCCTGTGGCAAAATCAACCCCCGCCCCCATCCCGACAGCCTGGATACAGCCTCGGCGGGTCTCTGAGCTTCCTGCCCCCGGGAGCCTGCCCGGAACGGCGGGGAAGCGGCCCCAAGCCCCGCGCCTGGAGCCCGGAGCGCGCGCCCTCCACCCTCGGGGTGCCGGGAGAGGCCCTGCCCACTCTGCCCTGTTGAAGCCAAGATGGGCACATCTTGGCCCCGCGCGGGGCAGGCGGGAGGTGATCCCACGTTCCAGCACCGGGCTCCCGGGCCCCCTCGTCCCAGGGCCCCAGCCAGAGCCCTTCCTAGGCAGCTTCCGGGGGCTGCGAGGGCAGGGACAGGGCAGGGAGACCCACGCTGCTTCCAGCCGCATTTCGCTGCTGTGACCTTGGGGGAGTCGCACCCTCCCCACGAGACCTCAGGCTCCTCATCTGTAAAATGGGAGCAAACCCCCCCTCCAACCCCTGCGGGAAGCTTCAATGGGAAGGGACCGAAAGACCCTGCGGGGGCCGCCCCCCGTGACCGCCCGGGCTGTGCCAGGCGCGCGCACCCCCCGAGGCGCCGGCTGTCTTCCCCTCATAAATTAGCACGGAGCGGAGCGGGAGGCGGCCTCCCCCGCCCGCGGATTATATTTAGGCACTCGCCGGGCCCCAGCCGCCGCGGGCGCTACCTGCCAGGGCACCCGCCCCCACCCAGGATGCCAGGAGGGGACTGGGAAGAGGACAGGGGAGGGGGGCTGCGCGGCGGGGACACAGGTGGGGACCCCGGACCCTCCCCGGCTCCCGCCCGCTCGGGGCCCCGCGCCCGTCCCCGAGCCCCTGGCCAGGCCCCTGAGCGGAGCCCGGCGCAGCAGAAAGTGGGGGCTTCCCCAGACCGGTCCCCGGGAGGACGCCGGGGTGAGGTAGCTCCGCGCCGGCCCGAGGGACTGCGGCAGGCGGGGGCCCGGCGCACTGACCCGCCAGCAGGGCGTAGAGCAGCTGCGCGCGCGGGTGCTGCCGCAGGCCGCGGAAGGCCGTGTTGGGGATGCGCTCCATGATGCCGTCGTAGAAGATGCGGCGCGCCGCCTCCTGCTCGGCCGCACGGAACTCGCGGATGCACACGCCGCGCCCCCCCGGCGGCCCTGCGCCCCCCGCCCCGCCGCGAGGCTGAGCTGCCGGGGCAGGTGGGGGCGCGGGGGGCGCGGCGGCCGGCCCGGGCGCGGCGGGCAGCGGGGGCCACATGGCGCCGGCGGCGGCGAGCAGCGCGTCCTTCTTGGCCCCCGGCAGCGCCTCATGGTCCTCGGCGGCCACGATCTTCGTCTCGCAGACCATGTCGGGAGGCCCACAATGCATGCACCCGGCCGGGCGG